CAAGTAGTTCTCGGCTCACCCGATTGTCACCTCTTGCGGAGAATCTCGGCCTCATCAAATATGAACGTATGACCGGGTCTCGTCGAATGAGCCGCAACTTGACAAGTGGCAATTTGCTTTGACGGATTCGAGTCTCGTCGAATAAGCCGCAACGTGAGAAACTGCAAACTCCTGTGCATGTATTACCCGTTTCTGCTACTGTTTCCTGCTAATGTCTCTGATGATAAATCCGCGACGGATGTCGAAATGTCAGGCAAATAAACATATTGTCCCAGCGATCGAGTGTTCTTTTTCTCAATTATTTCCTGAGACTCGCATGTTCGCTTGTATTGGCAATCCGCCTAGTCTGGCTCACAGCCAAACCGCAGACCAGTTCCCGTAGCACCTATTATACTGATGTACTATCGCGAAAAAAAAGTTGTTGTTCGAATATTACGTTCCCTACGGTTGGTGCAAATGGCGGTCATACGATTGGCTCGTGCCGCTACGCCTTGGAAAACGGAGATATGTCCGAGGACATGTGCTTTCTCTCTGTGAGTGAGTGAGCGGTCGGAGGTCTCAACACCTCGAAGCAGACCAGGCCCGCAGTTACAAGCGGGTCATTAATGCCATCGTTGTCGTCGGTCAGGGATACTCAAACGCGAAGTCGTCGGTGTCTACTCCTCAAACTCGACCTTCCTTTGTGAAAAATACCACGAGGGCTTTCAAAAGCCTAGTTTCTCATATTCCCCATCCACGAGACTGGAGATGCAGACAGTTTTAATGATGACGGTACATTTGCTTTCACGGTGAGTGCTCGCACAAGACTTCTTAAATCGACTATCCAGTTATGCGTTTACCTCTCAAAATTTGGTCGAGAGCCTTAAAAACGACAGTCAGAGAAATACAGTTATTTAAATTGAGTTGCAGTCATAATGAGAATGACCAGGAGGCTTAGTATGACCTATTCTCTGCGGCAGGCTGCCAATCCACAAAAATGATCATTTTCGCTACCCACGAGGAACTTATTGGGAGAAGGTAGTCACGCAGTGTGTGCAAGGTTTCTCCGTCGATGGAGAGGCCGATATATTCGGGAGAATTGCCATGAAATCCATGCATATGCTTAACCATCTGGAAATTGCGGTGTCTTCAGATATGATCCTTGATGTGTAAATCATAATACAGTTTTAATTGGTGGTATAACCGATGCAAATTACTCAGCTCCTAGCAGCAAGCAAGATTTTAAGTTTACGTATTATAATCGTTTCAAAAGGAACAACTTAACATATGGGTGTACCCTTCAAAATCTTGGTTATAGCAATGTAAAATAAATATTCGGCTTCACTTTATGGGAACACCCAATCAGGGAGTTAGCCATTACCAATTTATTGATTTTCCTTGCGAAGGTATCACGACGAGGTTTGCCCAATTAAGGCTCCATTCTTCAAATAATTTGAGAGCAGAGGTGGCAAAGCATCAACCCTAGGATGCAAATTTAGCCGAGCCGGTCCTCTTTTCACAAGGGTGACCGGAGTTATTTGATTGCCACCTATAAACAGACATGAAATCGAACAACGCACTGTAAATATGCCTGCAAGAGGAAGATATGCGCCTCGAATTTCGGTAGGAAAGGGAAGTATGTAAAGACACCAGAAAAAAAATGGCTCAAAACTTTAAGATTTACTATCAGAAGCAAAAGAAGCTAAGATAATCTGGGAGGGCAAACAAACGGGAACAATGCTTTCAATTTATCACGTAGCCAAGCGAATTTTGGCTCGACGAAGAAGTTGACCCCGCTTCCATCTTTTTCCTAACAGGGATCCGGGCTTGCTTCATCCCTACAGACCTCTATCCTAGTTCGGGAAGATTTGAGATTCCAGCGGGGATCGAGTTGGTTCTCGAGCTTAACGTTCTTGAAATCGAGTCACAGCCTTGCGCAATCGACTGAAACCAAGTATACCGAAATTCACTTTTCAGAAGAGCGGTTGGTGAACATACGAACACTGTCACTCGTTGATGAACGTCCACTGACCGCTAGCGAAACTCACTTGTCTCGTTGGGCCTCATATCTAGGGCCCTGACAACAGCTATGACTGACAGCTTCAATGGCTGCTGCCAGGGCCCGCGAAACGATGCCCCAGGCAGAGCGGGACAAGTGAGTTTCGTAAGCGATCAGTGAACGTTCATCAATGAGTGCCAACATCTCCCGATCTGAACTGACACGACAACGAGCTCGCGGCTCCATGGTTAGGGCCCTAGACTCTGATCAGAGGAGTCACAACTTCGAGGCTCGGGTGTGAAACCACTTGGGTCTGAGTATGACTGGCTGACGAGCGCTAATAAGCCAGAAATGACCATTCCATTCTCCCTTGCCTTTGCCGGCACTACTATCTGCTCATACGCAAGCTTACGATAAATTCTTATCGGGCCATTCATCGGGCCATCTGGGGAACGGGGTCAAATGCAAACATACGGCCAATTGTGTCCGTCATTTCATGCAAATGAAATAGGGGGGGGCGGGGAGAGGTGGGAATGGGGGTCAATTAGAAAAGGCTAGTTACACGACCGTGAGGAGCCGACCCAGGGGGAGGGGAGGGGAAAGAGAGAGATAAAAAGTGCATGCAGTCATGTGACCGGCGTCTATGCTAAGCGCGGAGCTTGCAGGATACTCTTTTGTACACATAAGACTGGCTTCATCAACTTGATAGCGGTTGCCACAGCTGTTGTTAGCAGACGCTGACTCAAGGA